GAAAGAGAAAGGAAGGAAGGAAGGAAGGAAGGAAAGAAAAAGAAAGAAAGAAAGAAAAGAAAAGAAAAAAAAGAAAAGGGGGCATGATTTTGCCAAGCAGACATGGAAAGTGGTAGTGGGGGGCGGTGTTGCTTCGTGGGCTGGGGTAGCTGGGGTGGAACAGGAGCTATTCTAGGGAAAAGAAGCTGCTTTAGCAAAGACATAGGGATGGGGAATCAAAGACTTAAATCACAAAGGGGAAGCTGAGCTTACCTGTGGCTGCAAAGGACAATCCCTGAACAGGAGCCTGCAGCCTTAACCAGCACAGCCCCAGTGCGTTAGTCTGGGAAGCTGCAGAGCGTGTGCGGTGGCCCTAGGAAAGGCGCACCCCCACCCCCACCCCCACACACTCCCTAACGTGGCAACACAGCCTTGCAGGGGTATCAGTGTGTGACGTTCACAAACTCTCCCTCCTCCTTGGCTAAGAGCATTCATTCAATCAACAAATAGTCACCGAGTGCAGGGGCCTGTGCTCAGCATCAGAACAGGGCAAACAAGGCCCTTGGCCTCGTGGAGCTTGTGTTCCAGTGTGAGCCAGGCAATAGGCACGTAGGCAACTAAAGATATTTACTGAAACTGTCCAGTGGCAATCAGGCCAGGAAATGGAAGATGAAGGTGGACGATGACAGGCAGGGGCAGTGGGGGTGGGCCTGCTGTCTTAGATAAGGCGGTTGGGGGTGCCGTCTTGAGGAGATGGCATTGGAGCAGAGGGGTGGGGGAGGTAAGGAAGTGGCCATGTGGTGATCTGGGAGAAGAGTGTCTTAGGCGGAGGGAGCAGTCACACACATGTCCCAAAGTGAGAATGAACTCGGTATGCCCCAGGAGAAGCAAGCGGGCCCATGTGGCTGGAAGCAGTCCAGAAGGGAGTGCTTGGTGGGACACGAGGCTGAAAGGGGGCAGAGACAGATTTCCACAGAGCAAGGGGCATGGGTTGATCTCAACTGGGATCAGTGGGCAATGGGGGCAAGTGGAGGCTTTAGTCAGGGAGTGATGTGATCAGCTTGCCCTGGCTGCTGGTGAGGGGCAAAACTGGGAGGCCACCTGCAGGCAGTGCCAGGAGTCCAGACAGGAGGATGGCGGCTTAGACCAGGACGCCGGCACTCCGTGTGGTGAGACATGTCAGAAGGGACTGAATATGTGACACATACAGTCAGCACTAGGTGGCTCTCAAAATAGAGTATGACAGGAAGAGAAGTCCAGGTGGGCCCCCAGGTCTGGGGCCTGAGTCACCGGCCTACGTGGCTGATTCTTTTTCTTTCAGTGACTCCAGCATGAGTCAGGCACGCATGTGATTTGGGAGGGACAACAGAAACGCCCAGTCCCCTCCCTCAAGGAAATAAACCACACTAGGTAGATCCACAGGTGTTGTCTGCCTATGGCTACATATGCCCCCCACACCCAGGATGCAGGAGCAACAGATGCACCAGGGGCATGTGGCCGAGCCGTGGCACACACGTGTTCTCAATGGCTGCCCACTTCTCATCCAGGTTAGGTTTCCCCTGCAGGGCTGGTTAAATGTCTGCTGCATCTCCACCAAAAACTGGACTCATGGCCTGGCCAGGTCTGGCCTGGCAAAGGAGATAAGCTGCTGAGAGCTGTGTCTGGGCACACGTGGCCCTCGCCTGGGGAGCCTCGGCTAAGCCGGTGGTGGAGGCCCTCCAAGCGCACTTCCAGAATGCCCGGGCACAGGGACTTTGACTCTTTATACATGAAAAGGAAAATGAAAGCAAGTCAGGGAGTATTTCAGTTCAGAGGCAGGGCCATTGCTGGACACCAGGCACTTGACACAGAAAACCTTCCCTGAAACCCCACGTCAGTGCTGGCTGAGACTGGGGCCAGACGTGACAAGCCCCCCGCGGCTCAGCTCGGAGCCTCGCTAATGCCATCTTGTTCTGACTTGACTCTTGTTCATCAAGAAGCCCCTGCTAAGAACAAACCAGAGGCCTGGCCCTCTTCCATCCTTACAGCCCAGATCCGGAACAGAGGTCATGGATGTTTTCCACGGGCTGCTGCAGGTGCTCTTGTGATCTGGCTTTTGGAGAAGGAAGAATGTGCGCTCCTTTTTCAGTAAACAAATCACAGCCTTGTGATCAGAGCTTATTTTGAGGGTGCATGAAGCTCCCCACCATTTTCAGTGACTTTAGCTCTTGGGGAAGGATTTTCTCTGCGTTATGGTTTAATTCTTCCTCCTAAAGTAATGCTCTGAAGCAGGTGGGGAGAAAAATCCCACTGTGCCATTCCTAAGCCTTGTGAATATGAGAAGAAACAACAAAAGAAGGAAAAGACGTTTCACATTTTAAGGGCATGTCCAGGCGCCCTAAGAACTGAGCCAGTTCGTTAAATGATTTCATTTGGAAACTTCCACCTTGCAATTCAGTCATTCTTCAATGAGAAATACATGATTTGTCAAATATGAAATGGAATCATTAATCTCTGACAAAGTCGGAGGTAGAGCAAACTGTGGCTGTGTGCGCCCCATGCTCTCTTCCCATTAACAAATTAGGTAGCCCTGTGGAAGGTATTCCAGACAGAGGCTAGCATGGGGCTCTGCCTGGAAGAGGGAGGCGCACTGATCATCAAAATGATTGACTTGGCTGCTTTCAGACATTTAACCACCCATCCTACCCTCCCTGCCATGTGCACACCACAGAAAGGGAATTTGCTTTCATCTTCCAGGTATCTTTTCATTTAACGCGCCGCACAAATACAGAATAAGCCAGGCAGACAGGGCTATTAAGACATAGATTAAAATTATATAGCGCTACACAAACACAGGAGTCCCTGTAAAGACTGGTAAAATCTGAATAAGGTCTGAAGTCCAATTTGAACAGTATTAGATCAGCATTACTTCCCCGGTTTTACTTTGCACTGTAGTTATAGAAAACGAGGAAGCTGGGGTGTGGATACACAGGGACTCTGTACATTTTGCAACTTTCTGTGAATCTATAATAATTTCAAAATAGCTTTAATCCAGCATTTTGGAAGGCCAAGGTGGGAGGATTGCTTGAGATTAGGAGTTCAAGACCAGCTTGGGCCATATAGGGAGACCCCATCCCTACGGAAAAATAAAAAAGTAAGTTGGGTGTGGTGGTGCATGCCTATGCTCATAGCTACTTGGGAGGCTGAGGTGGGAGGATGGCTTGTGCCCAGGATGTTGAGGTTACAATGAGTTATGATCGTGCCATGCAATGAGTTATGATCGATCCGGCCTGGATGACAGAGTGAAACCCTGTCTCAAAAAAAAAAAAAAGAAAGTTTTGAAAAATGTCAAATGTGCCAGTTCTAGGGTACGTGGCCTCTGACAAGCTATCATGCATAGTGACGCAGGTCCTTTCAGCTTTCCTTACATGCAGCGCTATCCTGGGGCAGTACCAAGAAATGGCCATAGCCATTATTTCCCCAAAGATAGCCCGACAGAAATCACATCCCAGAGATGACAAGTTGATGACTAAAGGAAAAACTTAGAGCGCATGTCCTTAAGTCACCTTGTCCCAAATCCTTCCCAGGCCATGGAAGGGTCTGTTGCCACAAGCCGGTGGATTTCCTCTGCCTGCCAAGACTGGCTGGGGTCCAGTCACAGGAACCTTACCAATCCTAAGTCCAACCAGCTCTGTCCCTGGCACACAGGTTCTCAGGTTTTAGGGTACATGAGAGTCATGGGGAATGTGTTTAAAATGCCGATTCCAGGCCTTCTCCCACCCCCACAGATCCTAAGTAGATGAAAGATGGGGCCTAGGAATTTGCATTTGCAACAAGCATTTGTGATTCTGTCTCAGGTGGTCTTCAGGCCACAGTTGAGGAAACAGCTGCCTGGGAGCATGCGCGGGAGGGCTCCCCATGGAGGGGGCAGAAGAAGAGCTGGCAGGCACTTGGTGTCCACAGAACACGGCACTCCTTGCACCAATGGAGAGAACCGCCTCTCTGCATGGGCTGAGATCTCCAGCCCCAGAGCTTAAGGGAGGCTGCAGAAGGGCCTGGGAGCCTCCAGGATTGGTCCTGCTGAGGCTGTGACCATGTGGCATTTAGGATAAAACGGAGAGTGTGGACTCTACCATCATCACAGCTTCTCACTGAGTGCTGATGATGTGTAAGCAATCACATCTCATTTAGTCCTCACAGGACTGCTCTGAATGAACTGTTTATTATCCCCATTTTACAGATAGGAAAACTGAGGCAAAAGTGGCAGGCCAGGAGTCTAGCCCAGCCAGAGGTAACCATTCTGTGATACAGTGTCCGTTTCTGTCAGAAGGGTTCCTTTAGGTTCTCATCTCCTCCAGGATAAAACATCGTCCTTAAAAATAATAGAGGACGGGCGCAGTGGTTCACGCCTATAATCCCAGTGCTTTGGGAGGTTGATGTGGGCCGATCACCTGAGGTTAGGAGTTTGAGAGCAGCCTGGCCAACATGGTGAAACCCACCCCGTCTCTACTAAAAATACAAAAATTAGCGGGGTGTGGTGGCGGTTGCCTGTAATCTCAACTAAGGAGGCTGAGGCAGGTGAATCACTTGAACCCGGGAGGTGGAGGTTGCAGTGAGCCGAGATCACGCCACTGCACTCCAGCCTGGGTGACGGAGCAAAACTCAGTCTCAAAAAAAGAAAGGAAATTTTAGCGAGTTTGCGGGGAGGGGAGGGGGAAGAATTTCCCAAAGCTTGTTTCGGTGGCATGAATACTCCCTTCCCACTGAAAGCAGATCTACCCTCTCAAAGTCTACCTTCCTCGGCTCCTCTGTTCTGCTCTCTCTTTCATCTTTGGTCCTGCTGTCTCCTCATCTTTCTCCGCTTTTCCCCTTTTAATTTTTCTCCTTTTGTCTTCCAAATCCAAAGTTACGGACTCAATGCCTCCCTCCATTTTTCCTGTATCCCCCATCGCCAACAGAAGAATTTTCTCCTGCCATTTGGCCACGATACAGGCTAGCTGAAAAAAATGAGAATGAGGTTCCTAGCAAGACAGATGACCTACCATTTTCCAGAGGACACTGTGGAATCCTGTTTGCCTGAAGGTTCCAAATATAACCCGTGTTCCACTCAAGGCACACTTGATGATCTTTGAAAGGGCGTTCAAAAGGCGGGCTGGTCTGCAGCAGGGTGTAGTTCTTTGCTACTGCGTGGAGCACGTGTTCCTCCCATTTAGCATTCCAGTCTCCGCCACTGTGTTTGTGAGTAATCCAGGCGCGTACTATCACTGCAGATACAGAGATGGAGTGCCTGATGAAATAATCATCTCTGTAAACCATAATGCTGGGAAATTTCACGTGTACTATTTGTGTCCTGCTGGTGTGAAGATGTTTCTCATTCTTCCACCTTTTTTTGTACACGGGAATGCTACTTCTGAACTCAGATGAAACAACTGCTTCCAAATTGACGACACAAGGCTGAGAGCATAAATACTCAACCGAGACTTCGGAAACGTTGCGAACATTTCCTTCAAAGACGGTAAAATAAATAAAGTCTTTGTAAGCCACGCTCTGCTCAGCTTTAGGTATCACTGATGTCGTCAGGGAAGTCTGCCTCCCCAAAGACGGTACAACATTCTGAAAAAAAGAAAAAGAAAGTAAGAAATACAGAAAGTTCATAAATCCTCTTCATAGCAGATATGTGAATCATTATTTTCCTGGGATAAAAAAATGTCAATCTACATAAAACAATGAATGAATGTGGGAGATAAAAGGTGTCAAAACCTACTAAAGGACTGGGGAAAAACCAGCACGCAAATACAAAGGAAAATTAGGCCACATTAAACCCCTTCCCCAGATCCAGAACATCTGCTGATCAGAATGTGACTGTCAAATCTATGTGGCAATAATTCCAGAGTTGGTTTTCAAATGCAGAAGCTGGTTCACAAATCCAGTGGCAATGCAATCTGCCTTCGAATGAAACAGAGACAACCCTGTTTCAGACATTTTCAAACCATTGTCCTGACTTCAAATGGTGGGTGACACTACCTGAAACCACCAAGTCAAAGGGTGGCAGAAAAGTGCAAAGTGCACCCTCGAGGAAACACAACAGAGATGCCAACCTGGCGCCTTCCTCTCCTGTAAGTTTGAAGCCAGGGCAAGCCTGCACGATATATGGACAAGCAAGAGGCTTCTATTGCTCCCAGTCACACACAAGCAAGCTCAGACGATGGGCTGTGTTGTCTGATTCTTTCACCATAAATGATGCTACATGCATCAGGAAAGATCTTAGTGAAATGTTTATTTATCTGGTCATGAAATCAAGGCAAGATTTTGAGCATGAGGTGCTGATATATGAATGCTAAGAGCTCTCCTAAATATGACTTGATTCAGGTATCGAAAACACAATAGAAAAAGGTCAGTTTGGCCCACTGCATATCCATGAAGGTGGCTATTATAAAAAACAACAACAACAGAAAGTAACAAGTGTTAGTGAAGATGCAGAGAAATTGGAACCCTTATGCACTCTTAGTGAGAATGTAAAATGGTGCAGCTGCTATGGAAAACAGTATGGCAGTTCCTCAAATAAATTAAACATAGAGTTATCATATGATCAGGCCAGGCGTGGTGGCTCATGCCTGTAATCCCAGCACTTTAGGAGCCCAAGGTGGGTGGATCACCTGAGGTCAGGAGTTCGAGGCTAGACTGGTCGACATGGTGAAACCCCATTTCTACTAAAAATCTCTACTGAAAATCTCTACCCCATCTCTACTGAAACCCCATCTCTACTAAAAAAAAAAAATACAAAAATTAGCCAGGCATGGTGGCAGGTGCTTTTAATCCCAGCTACTTGGGAGGCTGAGGCAGGAGAATCTCTTGAACCTGGGAGGTGGAGGTTACAGTGAGCCAAGACTGTGTCACCGCACTCCAGCCTAGGTGATAGAGGAAGAATCCATCTCAGAAAAAAAAAAAGAGAGAATTATGATATGATTAGATCCAGCAATTCCACTTCTTGATATACACCCAAAAAAATTTAAAGCAAGGACTTGAAGAGGTATCTGTACACCATGCTCATAATGGCATTACCCACACTAGCCAAAGGCAACCCAAGAATCCATCCATGAATGAAAGGATAGAAAAAATGTGGTATACACAGGGGATGGAATATCATTCAGCCCTAAAAGGTAATGAAATTCTAATATATGCTGTAAAAACGGATGAACTTTGACGACATGATGTTAAGTAAAACAAGTTAGACACAAAAGAACAGATATTATATCATCCACCTACATGAAATACCTAGAGTAGTCAAACTCACAGAGACAGGTGGCAGAATAGAGGTGACCAGGGCCTAAGGGGAGAGGGAATTGAGGAGTTAGTGTTTGATGGGTCCAGAGTTTGAGCTTGGGACGATGAAACAGTGTGAAGACGGAAAGTGGTGATGATTGCACAACAGCGTGAATGTCCTTAACACGACTGAACTGTACGCTTAAAAATCATTCAAATGCTACATTTTAATTTATGCATGTTTATACCACAATTTAAAAGAAAAAAGGCACTTTGGTCTCCTCCCAGGAGAGAAATAAGGACTCCTTTTTTCAATTTTTGCTTAGAGCTGTGGGAGAGGGAAAGATGGACAAGACTTAAAATTCGGTATCAGGGAATCATGTTTATAAATAATGACAATACAGGAGAAGCGTGGTCAGTGTTCGAACCAAACTGTGAACAAGCCCAGGGGTGCGTAGCACTTGGAGGGAATAATTCTAACTGGGGGATCTGGGATAGGCTTTATGGAAGAAATGGTATCTCAGTTGGGCTTTGAGGGATGAAGAGAAGTTCTTCAGGTGGAGAGGCAAGGGAAAGGCACTGCAAGTGGTGTGAAGAGCATAAGCTGGGCAAGAGGCAGGGGAACGCAGGTGACGTAGGGAATAGAAAGCAGCTATGTGGACACACGGACATGAGGTGGAAAAGAAAGGTAGGGTTTGGCCCTGGAGAGCATTGAGTCCCAGCCCCAAGGAATGTGAACTTTTATTCTACTGACAGTAAAGAATCAACAAAGGAACAAGGGGTGGTGTCTCCCTTTTAAAGCAACTGATAGTCAACGTCAATTAGAAACCAGGCTAACAATGCATACAAAGATGAGCAAACAACATGGTTAATCAATAAGTAAATGCTCATTCATAGTAAGATAAATGCAAGCTGAAACTGCACTCAGATGCCATTTTTAACTTACTAGATGTGCAAAGATCAGAAAGTCAGGTAACACATTGTACTGACCAGAGTGTAGGAAGCATGCCCTCTTCGTATTGCTGGTGGCAATAATCTTTAATCTCCATGAAGGCAATCAAGTAATATCTACCAAAAGTATAAATGCACTTACCCTCTGGCCCAATAATTTTGCTTTTAGGAGTTTATCCTATAAATATACTCAAAGTTGTGCAAAATGATGTTTTATAGATTTTCACTCCAGCACAGTTTGTAATTGCAGGAGATGGGGAGCATACATGCCCATCAAGAGGGAGCTAGTTAAATAGAAATAGTATATCCACTCGTGGAGTACTATACAGCTATGAAAAGGAGGCTCTTCACGTACATATAATGGAATGATCTCAAAGGGTTTTGTGTCTGGTTTTTGTTTTTTTGATTTTTCAGAGTTTTTTTTTGTTTTGTTTTTTGTTTTTTTGAGATGGAGTCTTGCTCTGTCACCCAGGCTGGAGTGCAGTGGCATGATCTTGGATCACTGCAACTTCCACCACCCAGGTTCAAGTGATTCTCTGGCTTCAGCCTCCCAAGTAGCTGGGATTACAGGCACCTGCCACCACACGCGGTTGATTTTTGTATTTTTAGTAGAGACAGGGTTTTACCATGTTGGCCAGGCTGGTCTCAAATTTCTGACCTTGTGATCTGCCCGCCTCAGCCTCCTAAAGTGCTGGGATTAGAGGCGTGAGCCACCACATCTGGCCCAGGTTTTGAAATTCCAGGTTTGTTGGAATGTAATTCACACCACAAAAGTCACACACTGAAAGTGTACGTTGCAATGTTTCCTAGTAGACTTACAGAGTCAGTCAACAATCAATCATCACCACAATCAATCTTCAAACATTTCATCAGCCCAAAATGAAACCCAGTACCCAATGGCAGTCACTTCTCATTTTTGCTTGCTTTTTAAAAACAGATTCAGAAATACAATTTGGGTTAAATACACACACACACACACACACACACACACACACACCCCACACGTATACATGTACACGTGCATATTCACTTGACTACAGAGGAGACAGAATAAGAGAGATGCATTGGATATCCTTCCCTAACTTTTGAATTTTGTACCACATAAATTTTTTTTTTAAGTAGGTGACGAGAAAGCAGCTGTCCTGAAAAGTCAACGTGGAAACTGTGGCTTCTGCAAACGGCAGAGAGAACAGGAGAAGGGCTGCAATTCCTTCTGACCAGTCATGGGAAACGTGTGGGAAGAGCTATGCAAAAAAGGGGGTACAGCATAAACTGTCCGCCCCGCCCCCCAGAAAAGTTTAATTGTTTTATGTTCTCATTTATACTACCAGATTACAGGGAGGAGACACATATAAAAATCATCTCCTAATTAGAAGCAGAGAAGGTTGCAATGGATGAGACCAGTGACAAGCCAGTCTACTCTCTTCATATTCTGCAGACGAGAAAATGACAATCAAGAGGTGACATTCTCCAACACCACCCAGCTGGCAGGTTAGCAGAGGCAAGCCCAGAAACCTGATTCCTTTTCTAGCCACCCACCCACTCCCACCTTCCCCATGCCATAGCAAATGATATCAATAGTGACTAATGGTCACCACTTTATGGCCGCCTGGAAACTCTAGGCTAAATTCTGCTTCCATGTGAATAGGGACACACCCAGCATTTGTCCATGAGCGCTGATTTATTCATTCAGCCAGATGTGCCAAGATGTCGCCCCCATTCTCAAGATGCAAATCACAGTGCTAAGCCCCATCAGAGTTTCACTCGAGGCCAGGGATTGCTGGTGCTGGTGGAAGCCGAACAAGCTGAACTGGCCAATGAGTGGCCAACGTGCCTTATTCCAAAGCAATGCCCTGAATGCTTCCCTCACTAAATCCCACAAATAAGTCAAATGTCAAATACGACATTTGCTTCTTTTGTGAGACAAAGGCAGCCCAGTGCCCAGGACACACAGAGGTGTATTAAATATCACATTGTGTTCTTTCTCAAAGGATGACTTAAAACCTCTTTCTCATTCCTTCCATGTATACCTTAAAAATTCACCCAGGCTCAGCTCTCCCACTTAGATTTTTTTTTTTTTTTTTTTGAGTGGGGATGGAGGAATGTCAGATTTTTAATGCTGATGCTAGCATCTCCAGTGAAAACCTCTTTTAAACAGAATGCTGGGGGAATGACCATTTGATTTTACTAGAAAAGTGCAGTTCCTAATAATCATGTTCATTATTTTACATCTTACTGCTAAAAATGCACCAGTCCACTTTTCTTCATTAATTAGTGCAGCGCCTTGAGCATGGTTTCAGTTTGGTCTGATTGTCCACGCTTATAACCTTGCAGAGAATGGAGGTATATGCAAGCTGGTGCTGTGGCTCACGCTGGTAATCCCAGTGCTTTGGGAGGCCAAGGCAGGAGGATCACCTGAGCCCCAAAATTCATGGTTAAAGTGAGCTATGGTAGTGCCGATGCCCTCCAGCCTGGGCAACAGAGTAAGGCCCTGTCCCCAAAAAATTAAAAATAAAAAAAAGAAGGCATATATACACTTCACTGTGTACTCTCCACAGAGCCTTCCCTTCAAATTCTGTTTTAAAAAAGTATTTCCATATACTCATATGAAGATTATTTCATTTTCACCTGTTTCAAAGTCTCAGGTGCAGTAAAAGTTACCCCAAGGTGTACAGGTGCTAGACATATGTTATCCAGCATGGTAGTCACGAGTCATATTAAGCACTTGTAACGTGGCTGGTCCAATTTGAGATGTGTGCTACGTGTAAAATATACATTAAATTTCAAAGCCTTCATATAAAAAAAATGGCTGTAAAATAAATAGCTCATTAATAATTTTTACATAAATTGTATGTTAACATGACAATATTTAGACACATTGAATTAAATAAAACATATTAATATTCATTATGCCTGCTCTCTTTACTTTTTGTTGTTTTGTTTTGTTTTTGAGATGGAGTCTCGCTCTATCGCCCAGACGAGAGTGCAATGCGTGATCTCGGCTCACTGCAACCTCCGCCTCCCGGTTCCAGCGATTCTCCTGCCTCAGCCTCCTGGGTAGCTGCGATCACAGGCATGCACCACCACGCCCAGCTAATTTTTGTATTTTTAGTAGAGATGGGGTTTCACCATGTTGGCCAGGCTATTCAGCCTCCAGGGCCTCCCAAAGTGCTGGAATTACAGGCATGGGCCACAGCGCCCAGCCGGTTATTATCCCAGAGAGAGTTTTGAAGAACAAAAGGTGAGAGAAGACATGCTTCGTTAGGAATTATCATATAGGAGACGTGGAGTGAATAGCCCAACTCGGCATCATTTCATATGTGCGTAGTTGATGGGGCTTGATTCCGTATTTTTCTTAGGTTCCCTGGTAGAAAGTGTTGACATCTTGCTCTTGTTTCTTTCAGAAAAGATCTAAGTCAGAGGATAACAGGAAGCTAAGCTAGGCAAAAAGATCAAATTTCAAGGACTGAGATGGATTGTTTGACAAGTAGGAGAAGCTTGAATGACAGCTGGAGAATAAGAGAGGAGAAGCTTCGGGGTGGGGCGGTGTTTCCTTAAGTTACTGCGGGTGTGTCGGCCCCAAAGAGGGCCTCCAAATCACCCGATGTGGCTTGTGCAGAACATGGTCTAAACCCTTCCAGAAGGTGCTATGGGGCAACTATGGGATGAAGGAAGCTGGCATCCGGTGGTTTGGAGCAGACCCAGTGGGCAGCTGATTCACCATGAGTCGTGGCTACCTATGCTATGCACAAAACCAACACCGATTAGCAAGACATCACACTCTAAATATTGATTAAGCTGAAGCTGACTTCCTGGCTCAAGTCATGTGTGTGGTTATAAGCTGTCTCCTGCCAGGAAAATAAGGCAATTAACTTGAAGAGTTCCAGCTACAGGCATGACACGTGTCCAGCCTTCATAGATATTTCCACATGCCAGGTCGCATTAACACAAGCTAAAAATTTATCTGCATGTTCCTCTGTTTAGAAATTATGAGTTCGGAGTCCATGTCATTGTTATATTTCCAGCTTCTAAGAGAGAGATACACACTAAGAATTTAGTAAGTGTTTCTTGCTGAAGTAAAGCGCTGGGGCTGGGCACGGTGGCTCACGCCTGTAATCCCAGCACTCTGGGAGGCTGAGGTGGGCAGGTCACCTGAGGTCAGGAGTTCGAGACCAGAATGGCCAACATGGTAAAATCCTGTCTCTGCTAAAAATGCAAAAAAATTAGCCAGGC